GTTCTCCCGAATAGGTGCGAACTGGCTGAATCCCACCACTGGAGTTAACAGAATTCATTGGATTTAGATCATTGGTGGGAACGTAAGGACTCTGGACTGATTCCTCTCTTGACTCCACCGCCTCTTGGCTCTGCCTGTCCTTCTCCTACAAAAGAGGAGATAGAGGTGTCGTGTTTAACTGATGTGGTCCAATTAAACATTGCCTTCTCTTCCCAGCTACAAGACTCCAACAAAGCCAGATGGCGTGAACTATATTCACACAGATGAGGAGGTAAGGGGGTCTTCTTAGGCCAACGGACAATGACTGTCTTCTCCTGCCCATCCCAAGAAAAAAATAGATAGAAGAATCATGCCAGAGCCCAGATATTGCAATTTCATTGGGCAGGACTTTGGATTTGATTTCCCAATTGTGTTTTGGAGTATGCTGTGCTTGTGTGTCCCTTTCTGCGGAGGAACTCTCTGTAATTCTCAAAAATAAAAAGAGGAGAGGAGATGCAGCTGCTTTAACAAGTGGCAGACAGTTGCTGCATCCATGTGGCCCCCTTCTCCAAAAATATCTTTTGGGAAATCAAATCCAAAGCATTGCTCAGCTTAACTAAGAAGGCAGCTTTCCTGGGAAGATTCATGATGAGCTCACTATTCCTATCCTAAATTGCTAATTAAACCCCCTCCTCTGTTCTTTGTCCAAGGGAAGTAGAATCTAGGAGTGCCCAAGGAAGGAGCAAGGGCAGAGACCATGGTTGGGTTCAAACATGGGTTAAGTTTGGTTTGCTTAACCATAGATGCCCAAATAAAAAAGCCACTTTCGATGGAAAAGAATATTTATAGCTCAAGGTTGAACATTGGTGCTCTATAAGTTTGGTTGTTTTCTTGCAGACGTTTTCATCACCCAACTAGGTAACATCATCAGTGCTAGGAGGGGAGGTTTGCTCTCTGTTTATATACAAGTCCCTCCTAGCACGGATGATAGTACCTAGCTGGGTCATGAAGCGTCTGCAAGAAAGCAAGTTCAGAGAGTACCAAAGACCCCACAGTCCTCCTCTTCCTTCCCCCCACCCTCATTTTCCACTCCTGAAACCCCACTCACATCTAGCACTGATGATGTTACCTAGTTGGATCACCAAACGTCTGCAATAAGACAGCCAAGCTCAGAGAGCACCACAAGAAGGGGCCAGATTGAGCTCTTGCTATTTACAAAAAACGGGGACTTGATTTTTCCACACCAAACTGTCAAAAACTAAAATCAAATCTAATTGAGAAGGCCTGGGCAGTGGGTCAACCCCAGCCAGAACCTACCAAAAAGTATTTGGAAATCCTCCAGGTGCTGAAAAAACCGAAGCCTCCTTTAACCTCCTTGGCCATCGGCCAAAACGAACTACGTCTCCCGACAGCTCTTGAATTCCTTTTCGTTTCCAGGAGACTTTGGTTTAATTTGGGTAAAGCAGAGGAGCGGGGGTGGGTGCGTGGTGGGCTTCAAAAATTTTAGCAAGGGGTTCTCTGTCCAGTTGCTGGGTGGGCGTGGCCATGGCGGGCGTGGCCTAGTTGGCCTCCTGCACCACAGCAGGGGAGAAATTTTTGCCCTCCCTGGGCTCTGAAGGCTTTCCTCAAGCTTTTGGGAGGGCAAAAAGCTTCCCCCCCAGGCTCCGGAAGCAAGAAACGAGCCCATTTCTGGCCTTCGTGAATTTCCGGTAGGGCCATTTTTCGCCCTCCTCGAGCCTCCACGCACGCCCCGCATTTACCTGCATCAGTGGTGGGTTTGAAATTTTTTTCGAACCTACTCTATGGGTGTGGCCTCCT